TTAATTCCAGTTAAACTTTATCAAATTATCTGCTTAATCGTACCCTGGTTAAGTCAAACCGTTTGCCAACTCATACAGTTTTTTACTGTCCATTTGACAAAAAACTTTGCTTAACTAGAACTTTGAATTTTAAATCCATATAATAAAATATCAAAACTTGCAACACTTTTATGAATATTCCAAACTCAAATCTCTAAAAAGAAAAACAAACGTCACATTTCCTTATTTTTACTAAAAGGAAACGTTGGCGTTTGCTTAAATTTTTGAAAAACGAACGCATATCTTCAGCAATTTTTTTTTTCAAATAATTATGCAATTGATAGTTTATTATTAATTATAAAAAGAACAATTAATATGAAAAAAATAAGTTACTAAAATTTAAAACGCAGTTTCAATAACATTAAAAGAAACCGTGCTAATACTTTCTTCAATAGCGTTTCTTTTAAGTATGCAACTGTAGAAAAAATTATGTTTTAGCATGGCTTTTACATGCAAAGGAATGACAAATTTAAATTAAAATGAATGCATTTATAATTACTTTAAACGGAAACCATGCTAAAACATTCTTTCATAAAACATTTCAAAAGCTTTTTTTAAATTTTCCTATTATTATTACAGGGTTATTCATTCTTATATGCGCGTCTATTCATTTTTATATGCGCCTTTATTCATTCTTATATGCGCATTTATTCATTTTTATATGCGCCTTTATTCATTCTTATATGCGCATTTATTCATTTTTATATGCGCGTTTATTCATTTTTATATGCGCATTTATTCATTTTTATATGCGCCTTTATTCATTCTTATATGCGCATTTATTCATTTTTATATGCGCATTTATTCATTTTTTATATGTGGTTTACAAAAGCAATTGTAAAAAAGCAATTTGAACCAAAAAATATCGTTTAATAAAATCATTGAAAAAGCAGTTTATTATTTCAAAGCAAATTTTTCTTATTTCCTGGTAAACGAGTTTAAAAATACTTAAGACGAAGACTTATTACATTTGATGATGGTTTATTTAATTTAGTATTAGTTCTTAGTTTAATTTTATTACATTGTATTAAATTGTATTATTGTATTAAATTTCTTGATTGATTAAGTCATTTTTTAGCTAATTATTTATTTTTCTAGATTTATTATTTAATTATTTAAAATTATTAATGGGTAATCAGGAAACTTAAAAATATTATGGATAATATAAAATTTGCAGAAATATATATAATTTAATAGAATTTATAGAACTATTATGTTGATTATAGTTTTCATTTTTTACTATGCAATTAACAACACCAATAATATGATATTTTTTTATTAAATACATAATATTATAAATATAATAATATTATAAATATAATAATATTATAAATATAATAATATCATATCAGGTATTTAATAATAACTTATTAAATTATAAATTTAATAACTTATTAAATCCTTAATATTATATTATTTATTTTGATATTTCTTTTTTTAAATATTTTTCAATATTTTAAAAAAGAAATATCAAAACAACTTTTATTTGATTTTTAATTCCCTTTTAATAAAATTTCATTAAGTTTATATCTTTTTTTTATAATTTAACAAACTAAATTGAGAAAAACTCACTATTTTGTATTAATAGATAACAGTTTACAGTCAAAAGGTTATTGCATATTTGTTATAATTAATTTGTGCACACTTTGCAAATGCGTGAAAAATTGTTTTTAATTAATAAAAAATTGATAAAATTCAATAAGTATTTTTGATATATCTAATTATTATATATCTTATTAACTAGAATATAAGTTATTTGAAAATAAAACTCCCTTATAATTTAATAAAAAATTATTTAAATTTATGAGAAAAAAAAAATAATAAAAAAATTGAAAATGAAACTGGCTTATTCTGGCCGACGACACGGGTTTGAAGTGGAGGTGCACGGGGTGGGGGGTTATGTTTGCATATTTGACATACCTCTTAATTTACACGTTCGTCAATAAATAAAGAAATGAACGTCAACATTTATTTAAAAAAAACAATTTGTCGCGCCCTGTTAGTATAAGTCTATTATATATTCATTAAGTTTAAAATCAAGTATATAAAAAATTATTCACCTGATAATAATTATATTGTACATTCAGTTTAAATAAGTCATTACTGCTGCTAACAGATAGAATGGAATAATTACTATTTTCAAAACGTTTCATCCCAATGAAAACAGAAAATTTAAATTAAAAATTAAAACTTGATAGAATTTTGAAGAAGTTTTAATTCACAAGATTTTGTAAAAACATAAAATTCTTTATTTAATTTTATTGTTTTGAATTTTTCACATATTTTTTGTAAATAAAAGAAATATTCTTAATCTTTTTATTTTTTTTATTGTTAACTATTATCTATTTAAAATTAAATTAAAATAATTTCATGGCAACCAATTTCCAACTCTGAATATCACTCAAAGACTTGATACCGAGCGCGCATATTCGCGCTCGTTGATAACGTGTTTCAGTATTACGAGCTCAAAATATGGTGCTGGGCGATTTTATTCATCACATGCACTGTATATATATACAACTCTATGAAAAATAAAGTCTGCAAAAAAGTGCCCACTATAAACTGTTAGAGGTGGGCAAAAAATATTTTACACAAAAGGTTACCCTTAAATATAGAAGTGAGGTCAATAAGTTAGGTAAGCATTTCAGAATGCATTTTATTGTTTATATTGCGCTTGATAAAAACAATTAATTATTTTTTTAATTTTTATAAAAATTAAATTTCAAAATCAAATTTTAAAAAATTTCAAAGGAATACTTTTCAAAAATTGGAATAAAATGTTATTAAAATATTTCTTAAAAAGGTTATTGAAAAGTTTAAGATGAGAAAAAATTCCCCTATGGAACAAAAAATATTGTACGAGGTACCAAAATATTTGAGATCAAGGTTTGGGATATCAAGAAGATTTTAGCTTAAACGAGTAATGTTCAAGGAACTGCAAAAAAAAATTTGAGATAATTAGCTTGAACTTTTGAGTAAATTATACTCAAAACTTCAAGACTTAAAAGATATAAAATAAAAAAAGAGTAAACTGTACATTATTTTATATATATAAAAAAAAGGATTGCCTGCTTATGTTTTATTCTATTTTAAAGCAGAAATATTTTTTTGTGGTAAGATGTTCATCCTTAAGCCATATATTTTTTTGAGAAAAAAAAAATTAGAATAAATAAAATAGAATAAATGAAAAAAAAAATAGAATAAATGAAAATTATCTGATTGAAGATTTTTGTTTTATGAATACTGCATTGCAAAAAAATAATTTAAAAAAATGCAAGAATATGCATTAAAGGACTAGACCAAGCTGTCAAGCCCAAGTAAAATAAGGAAAAAATTAGGAACAGAGAAACATATATAGAGAGAACAGAGAAAGGATAAAAAAATAAAATAAAAAAGTATTATGAGCAGATGTTCAGAACAAAACAAAGATACTGAAGTAAAGTATATATTAAAAAAATAATAATGATTATATAAACATTGCGCATGTAATAGAAATAATAAACTCAGATTCTAAATGGAAAATCATAACCAACATGCAAGGTATAAAAAACAAAGTAAAAATACTAAGTTAAACATAATACGCTCAGAGCAGGAATTGAACCTGGAATTCAATGGTTACCAGGTCGACACTCTAACCAATAAAGCTATAGATGCTCACATATGAAAAAATAATAAACATAATAAAATAATAAAATAAACAATAAAATTAAATGACAATAACTTACATACATACATACATACATACATACATACATACATACATACATACATACATACATACATACATACATACATACATACATACATACATACATACATACATACATACATACATACATACATATGCACATATATATACATATATACACATATAAAAAAAAAAAAAAAAAAAAAAAAAAAACCAAATAGGGAAAACAGAAAGATAATAAAAATAATGGTGTTGTAAGATCTAATTGAAATTAAGTAGTGGACTAATGCAGGTAAAACTCCATCCTTAGGGCCACAATATATTCACCAATGATATTTTGGAGAGCCTGATAAAAATGGCTAGCATCACTCGTCAGGGAGGCATCCTTGCAATCTCTATCATCGCCTGTAGCCAGACAATTTCAAAATTTTTTGTAAATTTTTCATTTTTTTAAATTTTTGTAAGTTTTTAATTTTTAATTTTTAAATTTTTGTAAGTTTTATTTTATTTTAAAGCAAAATTGTTTTTTTGTGGTAAGATCCTTAATCCATATATTTTTTTGAGAAAAAAAAATTAATAGAATAAATGAAAACTATCTGATTAAGGATTTTTGTTTTAAGAATTAAATACTGCATTGTAAAAAAAAATTGTTTTATTATTTCTGCAAGTGCAAATAAACTTTATTTGTCAACATATCTTAGAACACATAATATGTTTATCCTGTTATAAATAATACTGTTTATAGTATTATATATTTACAGTAGTACTTTTTTTTAAACCCAAATGTTTTTTAAAAATGGTTTTAAAACAGGAATATCAATAATGATAAAAAAGGAATATCAATAATGGTATTTTTTTACTTATCAAATATGTACAATCGATTATGTTTACTTATCAAATATGTACAATCGAATATGTTTAATCTACCAACTTATTATAAATGATATCAGCTGCAAATTAAATACAGTTGTAATTTATGAAATTATTTTAGAATATAACAATTTTACAGTGTTGAAAGCATTAAATAAGCAGATTTCTAATAAAATAATCATATTACTTAGTTATTAGATTTAAAACCTAATAATAATCATTAAAAGAAATAATGCAGTCTGTGAATATTAGATAAATTAGTAGTCATCTGTGAATATTACATTAATTTGTAGTCGTCTGCGAATATTAGATTAATTAGTAGTCATCTGTGAATATTAGATAAATTAGGAGTATAAAAAACAATAGGCACAGTAATTTTATTTGAAAATAAATAATGTCACACCTCTAAAAATACTTGCATTAGTACAGTAAAGGCTTCTAAATTCCTCACACTTACACCACTTGTTAATGTTGGTTTAGGTATTACATACTCGCCTCTTTGGAATGGAGTGGAAATTGCAGCTGATGGAAATAAAGGTGTATAGCCTGTCATCACTAATGAGGAAACTAATAAAACTAAGTTGCGGCTAGCTTGTTCAGAAGCCTCGTCACCTTGGGCTGAAAATTTAAGTAGAACTCTTTTGAGAAATTTATAACCATGCGCTTTTGAGAAATTTTCCATTAGAACATTTGAAACATCAGCAGAATCTTTCAAAACACACATTAGAGTAACGAACATTTCAACAACTGCCAATGGATCAATGTTACATATTGCTTCAATGTTTGCCAAACTCAAAGCAATACATGATTTATCTGAAAAAAATATGTATAAATGTTTTAATAAAATATATTTATAAATGCTGTATAGCATTGCAGATTTGTTAAAAAAAATTAGTAACTGATAAGAAATTGGAATCAACGAATCTTTAAAAAGAAAAAGCCAAACATAACATCTAAAGAAAATTAGAAAAATAGATACAGAAAAAAAATTTAATATATTATAAAAACTTTTTGGACAAGGATACCATTAAAAGATATCAAAAATACTATTTAAGCAATGCAGCAAAACCTCATAGTATTTCTCATTATTTTCTGATTAATTAACAAATATAGAGCAAAATAAAAAACACATGTATGAACAACCTAACAATAAGTGCCAAGTACTTTTTCTCCGCATATCAGCCTTGTTTGTCAAGGTTCATGTTTCGGAGTTATAGAGTTGGGAGAGGGTTATAACCACAAGTAACCTCCTCATCTGTAGTGGCCTTCTTTGCCTTAGGGAGGTGAATTACAAGAAGAAAAAAAAAGTAGTTAACGTAGCTAAAAATTGTCATTGCACAAACTCATTAACCAAGTAATCAAACACCAATGATTCAATTTAAGTAAAAAAATCAGGAAAACAAACAAAGCCAAAAAGATTTAAAAATGGAGAGATAAAAAAATCTTTATTGATTGTGTATAACAACAATAAATTTTCTTTAGATATAAAAATAGCTGAAAACAATGTGAAATTAATGGACATTTGCCAAATAGCATTCCTACACAAGTATTTATTTTAACATTGAAAAAATTAAGCACACTTTGAGTATTTTAACAAACATTCAAATCTGGAGACTTCTCTGACTTATTTAGAGTTGCTGAAGTTGTGCCTATTTTTAAAATTGGATCCAAAATAGATCATTGTAACTATTGACCTATATCTTCAATAATTACAATAATATTGATTATTTAAAGATTTATGTAATTATTTTGTTTAGTAATAAAAATAATTTTTTTATTAGAAAATATATTTCCACAATAAAACCATTTGTAATGATTTTTGCGCTTATGTACTGCCTAAAACTGAACATTTTTTTCGATGATTACCTTTTACTTGATAAATAATAAACTTGAGAAAGTTTGTAGTAGTTTAATTGTAATTATGGAATCATTTAAATTTAAAATCACATTTGTTTTTTTTTAGCGCATTTTTAAAAGTGCTAATTGTCAAAACTGGCAAAAAGCCCTTGCCAAGACAACTTGCCAAGTTGTCAAAACAAAGTATTGTATGCATGGTCATATAAGCAGTGCGACAGTACGCCTCTTATGCAAAGGTCAGAAATGGGTTATCAGTTTGTAAAGTTTGGTGATATTAGGCCTTGTTTTAAAGCATTACGTGTAGAACAATTTATGTACGCCTTAAGCGATTTTACATAAGCAGTAAGCGATTTCGGTTTTATGACATTTACGAAAAAATATTTGTTACAAAAGCTTAAATGACAATATTTGATATAAGCGCTACTTACTAATAAAAAAAAACTAAAATAAAATTAAAAGTTTATTTTTATTTTGTTATTATTTTATTGTAATGATTGATTTTTTAAACTTGAAGCAAAGATCTTAAAAATATTATTTAATTCTGATTAAAAAAATATACAATTTAATTCAAAACTAGTTTAATAAAAATATATAATTATATTTGGATAAAAAAATAAATAATTTAATTAAGATTTTTAATTTTGATTTAAAATTTTTGATTTTAAGTTTATTAAAATTAAAGTTAATGGTAGAGTTTGTATTAAATGTCAAATTTATTTAAAAGTATTACTAAATATTATTCAATATTGAAATTTTTTTTGTTCTTAAAAAAAATTAGCTTATTTTGTTTTTTGGTTTTCCTTCCTAAACATTTTTATTTTTTTTAATGTTTAGGAAGGAAAACTGAATTCAAAAACTTAAATTCATAATAAGTGGTTAAAAAATAAATACTATAGATAAGATAAATTATTTATGCATTATATAAGACTCTAGTTTCACCAACAAATGAAAGCGATATCATGCAAATTTAGACAAGCTAATTAAATGTTTTCCAAAATAAGACATTTAGTCAAATATAGGCCTTGTTATAGGATTTCATTGCATAACAAAAACGCTCAACGCTAATAAATATATCTTTAACACAGCTTAGATACTTACATCATTAAAAGTTAAATAGCGTTATTTAGGCCAGTCAAATTAGATTTTGACCCAAAAAAAATTAGCAGCAGACTGACAATTGTTGTGAATGTTCTGTATGCACTCATGATTCATATTGGTATCAGGGTGGAACTTTATCTAAAATTCATGATGGCATCCAAGATGGCATACCCAAGATATTATGTTTTACATAGAAAAAAGCCAAAAAAAAATTTTTTTGATTTTTTACAAAAAGTGGGGAATGAACCACTTTAAGCATTACTGATTTTTTCATTGCTAGAAAGTCACAGATAGAACACTGCCTGTAAAAGAATTGAGCAATTTGACAAAAATTAGCAGGTAACCTATAAACCGCTTAAACTGTTAAAGGGATCCCGACACATGTTGTGTTCATATTAAAGATAATGTTAAAAAAAAGGTTTGAACCAAGTTTTTTTGATTAAAAATAAATAATGAATGCATACCGAGAAAAACTAGCGTTGTTGTTTAAGCCGAAGCGCGCCTTCTCCATTTTTTTCAATAACTCTGAGTCTTTAAATTATACGCCGCAGTCTACAGACTTCGGCGATTCCTTTGAAACGCATTTAATTCAAAAAAGTTTTAGTATCTGATGTCACGGTAGACTTTTAATAAATGAAAAGTGTAATTACACAAAGCTGCGTTTTTCTACTTTAATTCAAAAAGTAGATGTAGTATTTTTTTAACATACACCAAAACAAATTTATTTGTATTATTTTTCCAAACATCGCAAAAAAAATTTTGTAAAAAGTAAAAACAATAAATTATTTTTATTTTATAGGAGCAACTTATTTTTTACAGATATCTTTATAATTTTTAGATTAATATATCTTACTTATAATTCTTTGTTTTTAAATTAAAACAAATATTAAAACTTACTTATAACTTTCATACGAGTATTTTACATTATATAGAACATTGTATACGGTCTCTCGTTTTTGTGCAAAAGAGCGCAGTATTATATATTCTGATTCTTACTTATTTTTATTTAAACAATGGGAACTATTTTCTAACTTGTTATTTATTAACAATTAATTTCAAACTGACAGTATTAATTAGAGATATTTGATGAATTGTTAACATTTTTTTGATTACGCTGATTTAATTTAAATTGCTAAATTTGCTGAATTGGATACGGATAAAAAGGAAATATCATTTTATTTTACATTTAGTTTTTGATAATGAAACTTTTAAAATGTCAGCAACTTAATACCAATTAGAACCTGTTAAAGTTATTTAAAAAAATGACAAGAATACATTAGACAATACAGTTAACAGTAGTATCAGATATGAAAATTGTGAAAGGATATGTGAGATCATGGTTTTGTATTAAAAGTACAATTAATAGCAACACAAGTCGACATTATAAATTTTGACTTTAAGTTTACTGTTCAATATTTTATAACCATCAAATTAAAAACTTGAAGTTTGTATATTTTTGCCCGTTTACAATTAATATTTAACAAAAATACAGACAAATTATTATTAAATATAATAATTAACACATTTATTAATGGCAATAATTCAAGATAGATAGTAATTTAAATAGTCAAAATGTCATAACGCGCATTAAAAAACATATTATATTTGCTATTTCCCGATTTGTGTCATATTTGGCATTTGTCTCTTAACATGAAAAATTAAAAATTTTTAAAAACACAATTAACAAATACAAATTTTCAAGCAATTTTCTCTTCCAATTCTCATTTATTTAAAGAAAACTTTTATTTCTCTCATCTAAAAAAAGGATGAATGACGCAAAAAAAAAAAATTCTATACAACTCTTATTCATTTGAAGTTTAATTAGGTGAAACTTTTTTTTCTCTTTTGTTTTACCCTTTTATAAAAACAGCGCGTGATAAAATAAAAACTTTTCTTTCTTAACATAAAATTATACTTAGATATAAAATTAAATTAGAAATAAATCAATGAGCAAAGCAACGAACAGATTAATCTGGGACTATTTTGATAATAATGAAAATAATCAACATAAACAACATTACCAACAAAAATTATCAAATAAACAACTCAATATCACATAATTTTAGGGGCTTTTTATTTTTATTGCTTAGTCATTCTAAATAATAAGTAAACTTAGTTCAAGTTAATATTTCAATATTTACAGTTGCAATATAATAAAGAAAAGATATTTGATGTTGAACTTTTTATTTAGTTATTTATTTTTTACCTACATTTGTTATAAAAAACTTTCGAACCCCCGTCATTAAAATTATATCGAACCCCCGTCATTAATAATTTGTTTTAAATTTATTTCGACATGATTATTCAAACTAAATTTTTTCCTTTGATTTCCAAACTTCATGCTAAGCAAATTGAGACAAATTATTGTCTAACCAAATAAAAAAACTGTTACTAATTTTATACGGGTAATTAATGTAATTTTTTATCAGTCTTGATTGAGATAATAAATATTCATAATTTATAAACATTAAATATATGGCGCAATACAATTTATAGCAATGAACCAGCATAAATTATTTAAGGTTTTTAATATCTTTTTAAATGTTAAAAATAAAAAATGAAAAAAAAAATAAACAAATAATCAAAAAAAAATTGAATAAAAACAAACAAAAATATTTCCAGAGTTTCATTTGTTAAAAGTCTACAGTGACGTCAAATACTAAAACTTTTAAGAATTAAACACGCTTCAAAGGAATCGCCGAAGTCTGTAGATTGCAACGTATAATTTAAAGACTCCAAGTTATTAAATAAAATGGAGAAGACATGATTTTTTATAAATTAATATATATAATTTTTATAAAAAATAATAAAACAGTGATCAAAAAATTTTTAACACTTAATATATTAACTTTGTGCTT